AAAGAAAAAGAGAAAGACCCTCAACGAGCTAGACTGACAGAATGACTAACCCAAAGGGCTTGATCAAGACAGAGCTCATGAGGATGGCACAGAATATGGCAAGGCTCATCCTGTTGTGTATACGATCACTAGGAGTCACCATCAAATTGATGGCACCTAACCACAACAACAAATAAAAAACTGAATGATTCTTCTATATTCTCAAACATCAAAGTTTAATTATCAAAATATCAAATACCAGAAAAAATGTTTATTTGTATTTTATTGACCAACCAACAGCCTTTAACTGTGAGGATCATTACAAGTTATGGATAATATTACTAAGAAAAATAATTCCAGAACACTTCTATAGATCAAATAGCAGTCATTGAAAAGAACAGTATTTTTGCAAGAATTAAGAACAGGAAAAATGTACATCATAGTTTTATCTTTTCATCATATTTATTCAATCTCTGTTGTTAGGTGCCATTGAATCAAGTATGACTCTGTTTATAAGATCCTATAAACAGTGGATCTGAACCCTGTCCTATCTTGTGCCATCTTCACACTTCCTAACACACTAGAGCCCACCACAGTAGTCACTGTGTCAATCCACTTGTTGAAGGTCTTCCTCTCCTTTGCAGACTCTCCACCCTTATAAGCATCATGTCCCTCTCCAATCTCTATACAGGGCAAATTATCTGAGAAACTGGATTATGTGAAGAATGTGGCATCAAGATTGGAAAAAGAACCACTGATAACCTGCAATATGCAGATGACACAATCTTCCTCAAAGAAAAGCAGCACTTACTGATGAAGATAAAAAAATGTAGTCTTCAATATGGATTACATCTCAACATAGAGAAAACAAAATTACCTTCACAATTAGACCAAAAAGCAACAACATAATTACAGAAAATACTGAAGTTGTAAAGGACTTAATTTTACGTGGATCCAAAATTGAAGTATACAGCCACAGCAGTCGAGAACTCAAATGACTATTGTTAAATGACTACTGAACTCAAATACTGTTGTTGTTAGGAGCTGTGGTGTCTAGTACAACTCTCTGCAACATACCACACCAGACAAATATGATCCAAACGAATATCTGTTTAAAGCATTCAAAAGCAGAAAGAGTACTTTAAGAACTGACCTGTGTCTGCCCAAACTATACTACTTTTAGTCACTTCATGAAAACTGGACAATAGCACAAGACTGAAGAAGAGTTTATGTATTTTCATTATAGTGTTGGCAGAAAATGGGTTAGTCAACAAGGAAGGGCACTGGCCTTGGTAAAGTAGAGGGTCACTGAAAAAGAGGAAGACTTTCTACAAAATCTATTGACTCAAAAGCTGCAAAATGAACTCAAATGCAGCAATGATTTTGAGGATGGTGCAGGACCAATGTAGTTTTTAATTTTGTTGTACATGAAATCTCATGAAATTTTGTTTCCTTTATGTTGAGATGTAATCCATATTGAGAATTAACTCAACAGCACCTAAAACAACAATAATCAAAAGGGTAAAAAAATGGATAGATGTTCAGTAGAAGAAAACAATGACATTTAAAACTTTAAAAAACCAACAAAAAAAAAACCAACCAGATTCTCAGTGAAAATGAGATTCTTATTTTATGCTATAAGAAAATTGGATGTGGCTTTATATATTTATCAGCATTTATTCTAAAGATTTTGTTCTCTTTTAAAACTCAGTCTGAGCTAAGGAATATCCTTATCAAAATATGGATCTAGCTTCTTTTGAAATTACAAGTATTTCACAAAACTAAACTTTCATTCTTGCACACATTAATTAAAAAAGCAGTCACCTTATAACAATATACTATTTTTTCTTATTTCCCACAATCTTTCTTTAGAAAATGAGTGAATTATTATCTTTAATACATCATCATGCTTATGTCTGTTTCCTTAGAGTACTGAATTTTGCATATTAAATTATCTGAGAATCTGGTATATGAAGAATGAGGCATCAGGACTGAAAGAAGACTCATGTACAAAGCAGTCAAGATTATTGTGTTTGGAGAAAAATGGGACTATGTATATCTAATTCACTTCATTTGCTTACATTATTTGACTGACTTTCCCAAACTTTAATCAGAATTTATAACCCTTTATATAGAACTGGAAGATCTCAAAGTAAGTTAGAATAGGCTATTTGGTCATTGATACAAAGTCTGTTTTGTTGCTACATGATATATAAAGGAAAATAATTTCAAAAAACATCTAACATACTCAACTTAAGAAAGGGTGAGGAACTAAATAAAGTAACTTAGACTATTCAGTTTAAAGTTTTCATGTTATGGTTGGAATACAGAAAAACACTTGAGAGGTAAATCTTAAATTTATCAATAAATGATGGAATGATTAAAAAAAATATTCCACTGAAAGGTATTAAAAGATGAGGCATTTAATTAAAATAACATAAATAAAATTGTATTGGACCTAAGGATTAAAGCTGTTAAAAGAAATATCTGGACACAAATAAATGTCAAGAATGATGAAAGCATTAAAAAAGATCTTTAAGTATAACAATAAATAAAATTAGAACAAAACTGAAATGTCACATGTAGTGATTTCCCATAAGAGGTTACTGGTTAGTTGCTGCTGTTTTGTGACATCAAGTCATCTGCAACTCATAGCAACCCTAAGTACAAAAGCTCTTAAGCCTGCCCTATTCTGAGAGTCTCACTGACACACTTACCCCCAATGCTCCAGTTATTTTATCAATCTAACTCATCCGGGGTCTTCCTCTCCTATGCTGTCCCTTCACCCTTCCAAGTATGATGTCATTTTCCAAGGACCAGTCCATCCTAGTCATATGCCCAAAATATGTAAGATGGAGCTTCAAAATCCTAGCCTCCAAGGAGAAACTTGGTTTTACACTCTCCAAGACAGACTTATTCATCTTCTTGGCAGTCCATGGTATGTTCAAGACTTTTCTCCAGCACCATGGCTCAAAGCCATCAATTCTTCTTCTGTCATGCTTAGTCATTGTCTAGCTCTCTGATGCATAGCAAGCAATTGTGAAGACTATGACCTGGATCAGGTGCACTTTAGTCTCTGGACTGATAGCAGTGCTTTACAGTACTCTGGAGAAGTCCGTGACAGCATATTTTCCCAGTACAATTCGTCTTTTGATTTGCTGAATGCTGGTGCCAAGAATGTTGACTGTAAAGTCTAGAAATCTGTAATTGTTAACAACTTCAATCTCTTCTCCATCTACGATGGTTCTGCCAGTTGGCTCAGTGGTGAGAATTTGTGTTTTCTTAATGTTGAGCTCCAATCCATGCTGCAGTCCTTGACCTTCTACAGCAAGCGCTTTCAGGTCCTCCTCTTTTTCAGCAAGCAAGGTTGTGTCGTCTGCATAACGTAGGTTGTTGTACTGCTTACAGTTAACAATAAATTTGGAAAAGGAGAATGTAGACAGTAGGAGACAGAGTAATACTTGATTTTTAGTAAGATCTTCTGAGCGTAGATAGGTTAAAAAGTTTATAGAAAGAAAATATTGCAGAACTTTATTAAAATGAAAAAATATGACCTTCAGTAAAAATTCTGAGAAGAGGAAAAAACTAACATCTGAACAGTAAAACCGTATAAAAATCTGACTATGAAAACATGAATTATGGGGACATCAATTACAAAACAAAGGAAAAATGTGAGAAACTGTGATAGTTATATGTGATCAATGTTTATCAAAAGTCTTCAACAATTCACAATACCATCAGGACTCCTAGGAGCTATACAGTGATGCTGTTAGGTTCCGTTGAGTATGACTCCTAGTGACTTTACAGACAAAAAATATTAACCCTGCTCTATTCTGCACCATCCTCACGCTTCCTGACACACAGGTGCCCTCTGTAGCAGTCACCATGTCAATCCACCTGGTTGAGGTTCTTACTTTCCTTTGTTGTCCCTTTACCCCTCCAAGCATCATGTCTTTCTCGAAGGAATATATCCTCCTATCAACAAGTCAAAGTATGTGAGGTGAAGCCTTATCATTCTTGCCTCCAAAGAGCACTCCAGCTGAACTATCTCCAAGACATATCCAACTGGTACTCACTGATATTCACAGGATGTTCAGTGCTCTTCTGCAAAACCACACCTTGAAGGCATCAGTTCTTCTCTTGGCCAGCTCTCAAATGTATATCAAGTGATCAGAAAGACTATGGCCTGAATCAGATGCACCTTAGACCTCAAACTGACATCAGTACTCCTCAATGATTTGGAGAGTTCCCCAACTGCAGATTTTCCCAATGTAATGAGTCTATTTCCTGACTGCTTGTACTAAGGGTGTTAATTGTGGATCCAAGCAAGATGAAGCTGTTGACAGTTTCAATCTCCTCTCCATCCATCATAACAAGTTATGGCTGACATTGAGAATAGGAATACCAGAACCCTTAATTGTGCTCATGTGGAATCTACACCTGGGCCAGGAGGCTGTTGTGTTAACAGAGCAAGGGAATACTGCTTGGTTTAAAATTGAGAAAGGAGTGTGTCAGGATTATATTCTCTGTCCTTACCTATTCAGTCTGTATGCTGAGTAAATTATCTGAGAAGATGGGCTCTATGAAGAGGAGTGTGGCAACAGGATTGGAGGGAGACTCATCAATAACCTGGTTATGCAGTTGACACAACCTTGCTTGCCAAAAGTTAAGAGGACTTGAAGTACATGTTGCAGAAGATCATACCTTAGTATGGAGTGCATCTCAATGTCAAGAAAACAAAGATTCTTACTACTGGTCCAATAAGCAGCATCATGATGGAGGTACATATAGGTATATAACAAAAATTACTTACATAAATAAAGGTATCATTAGGTCAGGAAAACATTTAGGCAATATTTTCATGAAAAAAGTAAACAAATTTTAAGTTACTCCAAAAAGTGTAAATTTTCTTTTAAAATATATTTTTGGTCAAGATTTTCTAATCATTAAGTTTACAGTGCGTGTGTACCTGTCTGTGCATATGTATATAATTTTCCTTTAAATAGTTAACAAAAACTCACATTTTGCCTTCATGTGGATCTTCTTCCCGGCCCTATAAGACATTAAAACAAAATTTTATATTTCTATCTATTAACCTACTCTTATTAAAATTAATAAAAATCATATATTCAAACTTATTCTCATAGGGCTCTTTATTTAAGAGCCTAGTAGGAAAGGTGTTAACTATGAAATGTTTTCTAAAATTCCCCATTGTCATTACTCTAATTGACATCCTTTTACTCTTCTTTAAACTATTACAATAGCCTACAGGATATGATTACCTCTATACCCAACCTCTACCACTCCAATATAGAATTATCAGTTTCAACTGCATGTGTAGAAAAACAAAAGAAAAACAGGTTTTTTAAAAAACCCGATCTTTAATACCACACTACCCACACCCTCTGGCCGTGAGTCAATTCCAACTCATATTGACACTACAGGGCAGAAAAAATTTCCCCCTGGAATTCTCAGGGCTGTAACTCTCTACAAAAAAAACAAACAAACAAACAAAAAAACCCAACAACAAACCACAAACCCAATTGTTCCAACTTTTGCCCATATAGTGTCTAGTAGGTTTTAACCACCAGTTTAGGTTAGCAGCCCAGTGGGTGACTAGTGTACTAGTTAAACCTCTCATTATGAAATAACAGTTATAGGGACTCATGGCTAAGTCTCTCTCTCATGTCTTATACCACCAATTCTCTTCAGGTAATATGTAACTACATACTGTCTAATCTACATTATTTCACCACTCTATCTTGTACTACTTAGAATGTCCTTTCTCCCAACTGTCTCCTATCTCATAATTAAAGCCTAAACCATTCAGGTAGGATTTATCTCAAAATGCTATAGTAAGACATTCTGAACCACTAAAAAAAGGGAATATAACCTTTACCTTATCCTACTCTATATATTCCTAATATTTAAAATGATGACACTGTTAGCTGATAGATCAGCCTGCTACTCCTGGCAACCTCATGTACTACAGTACCAGACCTAGTGACTTGGCTGACTTTTAGAAGTAAATTGCCAGTCTTTTCCTCCAAGTCTTAGTCTAGAAGTTCTATTGAAACTAGTATAGCAATATTCAAGCCTTCAATGACAAATTGATGGTGGCTGTGCCTAAGATGCACTGGCAGGAAACTCTGGTTTCCCGCATGGAAGGTAAAAATTCTACTAATGAACTATCATTATTTAAGATACTTTAGGAGTATTCACTTCACTAGGCCATAAACATCTTAAGCTCTTAAGCATTCTATTAGCATTCCCCAAATGTGCATCCTCTCACTCTGCTGCAAGCACAGTGTTAATCACAGTATATTTCAAAATATCTTTGAATCTTAATACTAGTACTGAGTATTAATACATGGTACTGAGTATTTAATTTAAAAAAAGTAGACATATAATCTAACAATACGTGGATTTCTTTCTTTTAATTTGGTCTTCATTAAGGTTCTTAACAAAGAAAAATCAAAGACCATTCAGTGAATGCCTATTACCTCCAATGTAGATTGATAAAAAACAATTATTTTTATTAGCATTATCATTGCCCAAAAAGGAATTAATTTCTTAAAGAACAGGTTTATATAACAAATTAATTTTAAACAATGTAATGTAATGTAGACTGTATAAAGTACTACGAAAAGTATTATTTCAACTAACACAATAGTGGCATCTGAGCTATACTTTTAAATTAATCAAATTTAACTAGGCAGTCTAATAGAGTGAAGTGTCAAGGAATAGAGAAGAAGTACAACCACAGAGATATTCATGTATTCATTCAAAATAAAAACAATTTTCTGATTTGCTTACTAATTGCCAGCCACTCTTCCAGGTAAGATACTTCAAATTCTTTTCTTACAGAGCATATATTCAAGAGTTAAGGCCCAAAATGAAAATGTAAATAAGGGACAGTAATCAGAATTTCAGAGTAAGAAATTTCTTAAATCTAACTACCAACTCATGCTTGAAACTTCCTAATAATTCAGACAATCTCCAAATAGCTTTTCATTCTATAGGAAATACACAATAATTTCCAATAAAACTCACTCTAAAAAAAAAAACAACAACAACCACCTAAATATTAGTGAAAACTCTTTCTAATTATAACTTGGAATGATTTCAGGGTGCTACATTATATGGAATAAAGTTGTTAACACAAAGACAGTGTCTCTCCTTCAAATACATCAGCAGCAATCCAACTCTCCTCCAAGTTATGGCCTCAGAAACCTTTTATGAGCTGATTCTGACTTGATCATACTAAGTTGAGGGGGATCATTTCATTACAAATTCAGAAGTAGAACTATATTAATTTTTAGTATTCATAGCATGTAATTCAGAAATATAGAGCTGTTAAAAGGTTTGTTTTATTCTCTCCTTGCATCCATAATAGGTCATGTCTCCTTAACCCGTTGTTATGCTGTTATGTGCCATCGAGTTGCTTGCAACTCATAGCGACCCTATGTACAACATACCTAAACCCTGCTGTGTCCTGTGCCAATCTCACCGTCTCCAGAACACCCACCCTGATTACCCCAGTCACTGAATCAGTCTACCTCATAGAGGGTCTTCCCTTCCTATGCTGTCCCTCCACACTCCCAAGCATGATGTCCCTATCCAAGGACCAGTCCCTCCTTACCCTACACTGGTTAATTATTCTTTTTCTGCATTCAACAAGTAATCTTCACTTATTAAAGTTTATTTTATTAAATCAGACCCAGAATTTCAAGAGTTTAAGAAAAGTTCTACTCTCAATTCCTCAAATAATTGAGAGAGGGATGTAGGGAAAACATGTTTAAGAAACTCAGTAGAACACTGCCACGGTGGTAAAGACAGCATGGTACTGGTACAATGACAGACACATATATCAATGGAATATAACTGAGAACCAAGAAATCTGTCCATCTACCTGTGGTCAACTGATTTTTGACAAGGACATGAAATAAGTTAAGTGGGGAAACAACAGCCTTTTTAACAAATGGTGCTGGATAAATTGGAAAGCTATCTGCAGAAGACTCAAGCAAGATCCATACCTCACTCCATATACAAAAACTAACTCAAGGTGGATCATGGACCTAGGACTAAAACCAAGGACTATAAACTTCATTAAAGAAAA